TGGTTTATTATAAATTTTATAATTAGTTCTTGATAGAAGCGTTTCTATTTTCTTCTAGAATTTACTATTCTTCTGTCTTTCTGATATAATAGATCTATTTTTTTTATATGAATCTTCTAGAAATTTCTCTTATTCTCTTTATTTTAAATTAAATTGTTAATATTGTAGTTAAAATCTATCACTTTTATATTCAAAAAACGATAATGTTTTGATATATAATATACTCGTATATTTTGAGTATTCTTTGTAGTTTGAAAATTCTTTAAATTATAGTTATTCTATTTTTGGCATGTTCTTTGCACACACTACTCTCCGATCTTCATTATAATGGTTATTTAAGGTGTTGGGTTTGTTAAATAAATGTTATGTTTGTAATGTTGTAATTGATTCTCATTTTGTGTTTTTGTTTATCAATAATTTATTGTGGGCTTTCATTGACCCATGCATATAAAATATAGGATATATTTTATTCTTAGTAAAATGAGATTTTATAGAATTGCTACAGCAATGGAAGCACACTTTAAAAATGTTAAGTAATTGTTTTAATTAAGTTATATGTTTAGTGGTTTTAAGACAGCTATAAGTTTTTTATTCCCAGTTTTTTGCGTGCTGTACAATTTAAGATAAAATTGTCCATTCTGAGCAGCCGAGAAAAACACACTTTGTACATGCATCAAAATTTTATTTAAAATTTAACAATTTCAGTGCAATTAAATTGTTTAAACTATCGTGAGACATTACTTTAAGCGAAAATTAATTAAAAACGGCTCAACTCACGCATTTATCCTCCGGTGACGGCACCGACTAGTTTCGGATCCTTCGGGGATCCTTCTCGGTCGGTGCCGTCACCGGAGGATAAAAGCGTGAGTTGAGCCGTTTTTAATTAATTTCAGTGCAGTCGATTCGCTATCCGTGTATTTTAAATATATAGTGATAAAAATACATTATCTTATACAAATTAAATATACCTTACCTCACAAGCATTTAGATAACGGTTTTTTTTACGTACCTTAGTACGTGAAAATCTTGAAGCTGTCTTACCACTTGACTGTTCTGTGTTGTGACTAACAATAGCCGCTTGCTTGTCTGTGCCGTGTTTAGCATCGTGCGTCGATGACATCCGGAGTACCGCATCCGTTGAGAAGCTATTATAATATACCTGTGAGTTTTGCTTTGTTACATTAAAATCTGTTGGGAAAATATCTAATATTTGACTTTGCTCGCGACTTTGTCTAAGTGCAAGGGAATATAGCCTGTACTCACTGATAACGTAGCTTTTTAATGGTGAGAGTTTTGACATCGGCCCAGTAGTTGAGTTAAATACGTACAAAATATCTTTACTCTTTATGATTTTAAAGCTGTAACGATTTAGGAATGTAATTATTATTATTATTATCATATATCTTTATTTCTTATTTTCTCATTTTACAAGATTTGATATAAAAATAAAATAAAATATAATAGAGCACCACCGGCTGCGGAATCCGATGACTCAAGCAACCAGTGGTCAGGGCAGAGACAGGAACCTCCTCACTAGTCGTGCGGTTTCTAAAATAACCGCCTTTTGAATCGCGCCCTTAATCCAACTGTCTAGCGAGAGCTTCTTCAGGTGTTGGTCGAAGCTCTTCGCTATCAACCCGTGTACCGTGTGTATGTTTATTATTAGTGTGTGTGTGCTTTTATTATTAATAATAATCACAAAAACTGTTGAAATTTTAAAAATTATTACTATTAGAAAGTTATATTATCATTTATTATCATGGGCTGTATTTATAACTAGTAACAGCGCAAAGTCGGGGGTAATAGTTTATTTATAAATTGCCACAAAAGGCCATCTCTAACCAAAAGTAAGTAGTCTATGTGGAGATTTTTTTAACTACTTCTATTTTGTATTTTCTACAGTCCAAATATTTAATTTATCTTTGATATTAGGGAAAATGTGGATAGTGCATGTAATTAAATAGCACACTATTTTAAACATAAATTATTCATATGTTAGTTTTTGATAGAGATTTTCTATATTCTAGTAAATATTGCATGAAACAGCAGATAAAATACAACTGTAAATTTAAAATATTATGGTCTCTCGACTCTCATATAAGAAAAGTTATGATATATATTTTAAAATGTTGTAACAGTATGTGAAAATATTGTATTTATACTGCAGCAGGCGCCCACTTCGCGTCCCTATGTGACGTCGAGTGCGACGATAACGCGAGTGTCCCGCCCCACTTCCGTACCAACGCAGAGGCCTGTTGCAGGTTGGTGTACCATAAACAAGCACTACTAATTAAGAAACAATCTATACTCTATACTGGCTAGCTGTTCCCGTGCGGCTTTATCCGTATGAAATTATATAAAACTTTATTTTACTGTTTATATTTGTCAAATAAGCAATATGCATATGACGCCAAATTGCACCAAATTTTTTTTAAGTGTACTTTATTACTATAAAAACGTTCCTGCAAAGACTTTTGAAATATGTGATTTAGTGGCAAAATTTAATTATTATTTTTAGCTCAATGGTTGAATATTTTCGCGTCAATTTTTTTCTGGTTATTTTATTACAAGTAGAATCATTTAAAAAAGAAAAAAATACATGCATATTCCCTATTCTCAATTGCAAATGTCAAAATTACCGTTACCATAATAACCTTGCTTTCTTAATGTTGGCTTGTAGTTTATGGTTCCTTTCCCACATGAAGGTTTTTGTTCCAATTTAATTATCCCCTAACTTTAATAGCGTGGAAATATATAGCCTAAAAGCTTTACAAGCGTAAGTGTAGAGCTTTTCATTGAAGAAAGTATTATTCAAAAACATACTGTGATTGCCGACATCCTACGCCACAAATAAGTGTGTGTTTACGCTTTATATTAGTTTAGATATAACAAATCGTAAACACACGCTTTTTAGTTATGTAGGATGTCGGCAATTACAAGCCCTACACTTACGACACGCTTTAGGCTATATATTTTCACGCTATTAAACTTGTGGGTAAATAAATTGGAAAATATTATGCGGGAATGGGACAAAAATGCCATTATTATTAAAGAAGCAGGATGGCCATGGTAACGGTAATTGTTAGCCAATGGCAAAAACTTTCATTTTCATTTGTGCATTTGAATTTTGATATTTACAATTTAAAATGTAAACAGTGAAAGTTTTTTATAATTTCAAGCGGATTAAACCGCACGCGAACATCTTCTACTTATAATATCATATATCATATAAATATTATAAATGCGAAAGTTACGATGGATGGATGGATGTTTGTTAGCGTTTGTAGTCTAAACGGCTGAACGGATCTCCATGAAATTTGGCACAGGTTTAGAGCATAGTCTGGAAGAACACATAGGCTACTTTTTATCCCGGGAATAGTTACGGTTCCCGTGGGATTCATTAATTTAGTTTTTTAATGTTTACTCGATCATTCTGCAACGGTTGAACATATGTTATTGAAATTTGGCACAGATATAAAACAAAGTCTTGAGTACACATGAGATAAGCTTCATCCCCGAGAAATGTCCGGTTCCCGAGGGATACGTAGCTTTTTGTAATTTATATAGTTTGTATGTTTTCTAATACCACGCGGACGAATTCGCGGGCAACAGCTGGTTAATAATAATAAAAAAATAACCAATTACGCTGCCAAAAAAGACCACTTATAATTTACACTTTAATAATTTAGATATCTTTAACCATTCAAAAAATAGCTTAAAAAACAAATAAATCATTTTTATCTAAATTACACTAAAAAAAATTTTTTCGTTAAAATACCCTTTCCGTGGTGTGTGACTTTCATTTCATGTTTTTATTATGTTTTCTTTATTTCTTTATGGTAGAGGAAGACCGAAGAAAGTATGGATGGATTGTGTGAAAGAGGATATGCTTAAGAAAGGAGTGGATTCAGATATGACGGCTGATAGAGATGTATGGAGCAGCACATACTGTGCCGACCCTCCGTAAGGTATAAGGGCAAGTGGATGATGATTATGTTTTCTTTATTACTATTATTACTTATACTTTACGTTCAAATAATGTAAAAACCGCGGCTTATCATATATGTTGTGTTTTTTCTATTGTCCGCTGGTCTTTAAATAAATAATAATATTTCAGCGGTAGATAGTCGTCCGTTCACAGCGGTGGAGTCCCGCGTGTCGGCGTTGCCGCGGCCCTCGCGGCTGCCGGCGCCGCGCCGCACCATCAGGTAGACTTGTCTTACAGGTAACATTCTATACACGCTGCCCACCCTCTAACGGTAACTAATCTACTAATATAATAAAGCGTAAACACACTACTTTGTGGCGTAAGATGTCAGCAATCACAGTATATTTTTGAATAATTCTTTCTTTAATAAAAATCCCTACACACGTCACGCTTTAGACTATATATTTTCACGCTATTAAACTTAGGGGGTAAATACATTCGCAATAAACATTTATGTTGGGAAGGGACCATAAACTACAAGCTGCCAACATCAAGGAAGTAAGATTACCAAGGTTTGTCATGTCATGTCATTTTGACATTTGCAATTGATAATCTGACAAATGCAAACAGTAAAATAAAGTTTTTTACATTTTTGCGGGTGAAGCCGCACGGGAACACTACTGATACAAAGAGGAAACATTTGTATTTTTGTATGTATTCGGTTCACGTAAAAACTACTGGGTCGATTTCAAAAATTCTTTCACCATAAGAAAGGTCTGTAAGCAACCTCGGCTATATTTGATTATTACTTATGTGTAGGAACCATTAATACATAATAAACACTTAACATTAACAAACCAATAAAAAAATAGGTAATAGGGTTCATTAATACCTGGTATCTAGGTTATACGTAGTTCACACTTGGCTAGTTACAGTTGCGGCCAGTCAAACATTGTATTATCTTTGATATACTGGCGCCAGTTGATTGACAGTCTATTAGACGCTACTGGTCAACTGTACTGGCCAAGTGTGAACCGCACATTGTGGTATTTTATCTTTTTAGGCTTGAAAAATTAAGAAACTTATTTTTTTAAACAATACCAAATAATCTAACAAGATTTTTTGAAATTCGAATATAGTTTTTTGTCGAAACTTTAAATCGTGACTACAAGTTTTTACTTTTATTGCTTTGTATTGTTGTCTTATTGATTTTTATTTATTTTTCAGACCACCATCAGTATACTCTGTGGCACCAGCGGCCGACATCGACCACTACTGACCACTAACCCTCGTGCCAATCGGACCACCGTGGTCCAAACTAATTTATCTAACTAAACTAAATCTAGCGTTATTATAACAGACTGAAAACTCGGTGTCTTTTGAAAAATTTTATACGTTTAGTTTTTTTATCTGTTTGGAAAATCGGCATTTGTGATGTTGCCAGTATTGTAGTTTATCTACGATTATAAAAATGTAGTTGACTAAATTCCTAATATTATTTCTTTTATGACAATAATATATAAAAAAAAATTCAAATTATCTCTTAACGTTTTGGAAAATATTGCATGAAGTATTGTCCTTGTCAAAGTTTTTTAAACAAAATTGTAACTATTTTAATATAAATATGATTCAAAAATTTACAATTTTATATCCTTTTATATCTTATTTAGTGAAATTCTACAAATTAATATTCTATCAAAAAAATAACCTCAAATATGACATTTCTATATTCATTTTTATATTACTCTGAAAAACTTCTGAAGTTAGCTATCAAAATGTACGCATTTTATACTGAGAGAGACAAAAGTATACAAAACTAAAAGATAGAAAGAGAAGCATATACAGTTTTTCTAGTATGAACAACTGCGCTGGTATTTATTGCTGACTTCAGAGTATATGATTACTATTTTCTCCCCTGATATTACTTTTATGTTTTTAATGTCTTTATAATAATTTTATAGACATTCAAAATTTTTTAACGTGAAAATTTTGTTTATGTCTCTTTCATGAGGTTAGAAATATACTTTTCGTACAGAAAAGTCAATAATTTCTTCCTATCTTGTTTGCTCTCTACCTATGTTATAAAATTCCAGTTAACTTTTTAGGTACAAAGACATACAAAATATATTACTGCAAGACAGGAACAAAACATATTGCTGTCTCATTTTAAAAGAGAAATGACAATCTGTTTGTTTTGACAGTTGAAGCCGATGGTTGCAAAGTCGAGTAAAGGCTTTGAGGTTATTAATTTATTTTCGATTAAGACATTTTTTGCATTTTGAATGAATATTTGTAATAATTATAGATTCTTATTTTATTGTATTATGATATTATGTAACACTAACATTGTAACATACGCACAATCCCATCCCATATGAAAAAATAAAATATTGAGATGTACAAAATCTTAACATCTTGACACCTTGAGTGTACAAATTGTATATGTTAAAACTATTGTATATTGTATAAAGTTTGATAATACATAAATATTAAAATAAAATGTTTGTCTTAGATATCTCCTATCGAATTCAGCTTAAGGCTTCCTGAAATGTTTCATAGCTTCATAACAAAGTTCATTATAAAAACGTTATATGATAAAATTAAATTCTCAATATATCTTTGCGGTATTTTAATGACTATTGTCTGTATACAAAAATGAATTGTTTTCGAGACATTATTTTGGCAATGTTTATTGTTTATATATAATATTAATAATAATAAATAAATAAATAAAATAAACTATGCTACCTTATTCGTGAAACATATCATTTTGCTCTTGTATAGGAGTTTCATTCCGTCAAACATTTAAAGTGATATACCGTGGACCCAATTTTTCTAAATTGCATAAAATTGTCTGTTTTAAAGCGACTTTTTATACAAATTGATGTATAAAAATATAAATTTAGCTGTTTGTGTCGCTTTATGCAACTCGTCGTGTTCTACGTTTGATTGGTCACGTCGTGCCTTATTTAGATAATTTAAGGAGTTTTGTTTTTAATTTCTAATAAAATTATTAAATATTTACTGTAATGGCTTTTTATTTTTCACCAAACTTTGAGGCATAGCATATAGTCGGGACATCGCAGGTGTTTTGTTGAAAGCTTTCCAGATTGTCGCTGTCTTGAAGATTGTATAGTCAGTGGAACTCATAAAATTAAAAATAAAGATTTACTCACACTTATTACGTATTTGAACTTATAATACTTTTATCAATTAAATTGTTCTCAAAGTTGGCATTCTCGCTAGTTGACTATGAGAATCCCATAGTTTTTTTGCTAAATACAAATAAATAAAGTAACGAACGTTAAATTATGTTTTATTAAACAAATGCTATCTTTATTCTACTGATAATAACCTGGATATTATGTTATTTCCACTTAAGCTAACTTATAGGTATTACTATATATTTAAATTAATTCAATTCCCTAAAGAAATTGTTCATAATCTAATATTTTAAATCATCGTTGCAACAACATTTTTTGAACTATTTAATTAATACACGGTAAAAAAGGAAAAACACTGTTGATCCACTTTGTATGACTCTTAGCATCAAACACATTATAATGTATTATTCCCATTGTAAAATTTAATATTACATTGAACCAAGAAACGTATTTAATCCAAAATGCATTTATAAACAGATTTTTAAATAAACTGAAAGCGAATCAAAATAACAGAAACGTAATGTTGCCATAGCAATATTGCTTATTTGAAGTAGGCCATTGTTATCTGTTACCTTCATCTGTGCATGTGTGCGTGAATGTTGAAAAGAAATCGCACGTTATACTATACGCGAGTGTGCAACGTCGCGAGTGCTGTCTACGAGTAATTTTTGCTTTGTACATTTTTATTTTTATAAATAGCAGATTTAGACGATGTGATTAGTAATGTAATAACGTAAAGTGATAAGAATTGTGATATATCGACGCAATGGCTTGTAAAATATACCGTGTTTTCGTCTACTTTGTGATCCCGTGCAATAGCTCGTCACTTTGGTTGTTTGTCAATGACGTCTGCGTTCAGCGCAACGAATAGTGGAATTATATTTTGATTGACAAGTAGTGCAAACCTAAGTAATTTATATTGTGATTGTTGATGCTTGTTTTTAAAATGGATGAGTGTTTTCTTCATTGGAACATTCCTAACACGACCGGGGCCATCGGAGGTGGCTCATGAAGAAAGGGTTAGTTCACCTGTTTTTGTTTACCTTACTTATCAACTGCATTGATTGTGAAAACATAACTTTTATGACAACATAGTAACATACGCTATAATGTAGTAATAATTTATGTATACAGAGCGCAGTATAGGTTAGGACCCTTGGTTTGTTTGTTGTGAATAGTGACGACAGTATTTACATTAAATGGGCGAATGTTTTTTAAGTCTAGGTTGTATTTATTTGAAAGCGGACGTAAAGTTTTTTTTCTTAGTTTAATGTTGAAGAGTATTATTTCTCTTTTGTTACTTTCTCTTATCCATGGAGTGAAGGGAGCGAGGGCGATAGCTAGATCGTGTTGGCAACGCACGAGAGCGAGACGATGCTCTACAAGACTAGATGTATGTCCACACATATGACTTACCTGTGTTCTATTGAAATACTGAAGCTATAATTGCCTTAACTAATGTTGTGGTCAATAATCTAGTTTCTTCAAAAGATTACTTAACCTTTACAATAGTATGGAAGTTTCAAATTATGTTTAATAATTTTAATTAATAAAAATAAGTTACTTATTATTCAATATAGTGGTTTGATAATCTTTATCTTTACATTGGATCTTTTAAAGTAGAAGTTTTTGAATTACATGATTTTGCAAAATCTCTTTTGATAAGGAATAGATAGGATAACTAAGTTAAGAAAAATAAAGTTGTGAATGGAATATATTTACTTGTATATTTACACCATTATGTTGAATGCAATAAGTACTGCTTGAAACTTTTAACTTCACATATTTCTTTACAATTATTTACTTGACCACAATCAGACCTTATGGTAAATGTTGATGTGGTGAAAATATATTATGCATTGAAGGGCATATCACTACCCTATGTAGGTGTATGTTGAACTATTGAAAGAACTCAAAACCAATATTTTTTATTCATTACAAGTAATCGGACCTTATGACTTCAAAAAGAATAATTCTGGTATAACTCACCTATTTCGAACCTAGTTAGATTAGGGAAGATTAATGTAATTTGTCTAACATTGTAACAGAAAATATCTATTTATTTGTAAGAATTAAATAAAATAAATAAAAACCTGTTATTGGAACAAATCAATTTTGTACAAAATCAGTGGACTCTCCTGAACTAGTGATACCCATGTTTCAAGAGATGCCTTCTCTCAATAATTAATTCATAGTATAACTTAGGTTTGTTTATTTTACTATGAGAAATATTAATTTGACCTATAAAGCATACATTTGCTTGTAATTTACCTTTAAGAGGAAATATCAAAAATTAAAGTGACATTGTATGGCATAACTTGTTTCCTTTGGTTATTATCAAGTTATTTGCCTTGACCATACCAATGCAGGTATGTCAAGGGCTTGCTCCTTCCCAAAGAGGAGTTCTGATTCATTAAATTGTACAATATAGATATAAGTGATATTTTACAGTTGCATTGTACAAGAAATATTACTAATCTATTTTAACATATTTGGTAAATGGTTGCGGCAACACCAAACCCGGAGTTGCCAGTGTCAGTGCTTGTCGATGTCATTTGTTTTGTTCTTTTATCTGTCAAATATATGAAGTAAATCATGGTCTTTTATTCAAGGAATTAGGAATTTTATTTATTTTACTTTACATATAGCTATAAAAGTATATACATTTATCTCATTTTTTTAAAATTTATATTACAATTCCCCTTTCCATTCTTGTTAGAAAAGGGTCAGTCGGGTAAGAGTAGAGAATTTGGCCTTTGAAACACTCTTTCAGAGAATAGCGCTTTGAAACAAATTATTCCTCTTAGTAAAATCTACACTAATATTGTAAATAGGAAAGGTTTAATTGTTTGTATTGAATATGCTCTGAAACTACTAAACCAAATTAAAAAAAAAAAATTATTTTAGATAACTACTTTATAACTGAGTAACATGATTATTTAAAAAATTGTGGAATAAAAAAATTGAATAGCCTATGAGTTCTTCCAGACTATATAAAATTTCATAGAAATCCGTTACAAATCCGTCTACAAACTCTAACATCCATCCATCCATTTAAACTTTTTGCATTTATAATATTAGTATCATTTACATTATGCAGGATATATAAGAGAAAACTACAACTTCCTATATTTTCGTTTTACACCAATATGTAAAATTTATAATTTTTATACATTGAAGGACTGTTGGCACAGAACCAATGCCCAAGAATATCTTAGTAAGAGTATATTTAGTGTTTTGTCAATGTGTGTAGTTATTTTAACATGTTAAATAATGTTGTTACTAGGGAAGAATTCACCTCTACATAAATAGGAGAGTAAATAATTCAATAACTAATGAAAATAACAATAGCTGATATATTTCGGATTAGAAACACTAAAGTTAGATAGGACAAAAATTTGCAATAGTATTTTTTTATAATAGCATGTTATGAGGAAAGATGAATTGC